GCAGTGGAGGATCTAAGAATTTTTTATATGACAATATCTACAACTAAACAAAGAAAATTTATATATTTTTAAAACAGAATCATTATTTGTTTTTTGGTAAGATTAAAACCGAATCATTATCATATTAGTAAAATTATCATTTATTTATTATTATCCACGTTAATTTAAAAGTTTAAGAGAATATCTGTTTTTTCTCATAAAAGGATGGAATAATAACATAACTCTTTTAGATTTATAACTATATTTGACATTATCATATTAAATCTATTAAGATAACTATATTTCTTTTTGAAAAATATAAATAAAATGATAATATAATTATTATAGATTTACAATTATATTATTATCCATGTCAAAATTTTAAAACATTTTCTTTTTTTCTCACATAGGAAGGTAGAACAATAACGTAACAGTTTAAGATTTACAACATAAAAATAATATCAGAATTGGAACGCCAAATCATAATCAACACAATTAACACAACTCTAATGGGAAATTAGAGTTATCTTGTGATTAAAATACTAAACAAACAAAACTAACCGAAACAAAACAAAAGTCTTCCTTTCAAAATCATTAACGTGACGGATTGCTGACTGATTAAGTTGAAGTTTTAGGCATTTAAAGATCTAGAAAGATGATTAAGGTTAAAAATTTTTATTTATTTTAAACAACGTTTGAATGTTGACAAAAAAAGAAGAAGAGAGTGTTGGGACCATCGGGAGAGACAACGTTGAGCAGCTGCGAAAGAAGCCAACGTTGTCTATTATGTTCCTCACAGTATTTGATTTGACTTTTGATGACATTACACTCCTGTCCACTTGTTGTCTCGAAAGTTCATGCAATGGAAAATTATTAAACAAAACAATTTACTTTTATGTATAAATCCTATGGAAGAACCGATCAAGCTAAGATCAATGGTTGTGGTTTTAGTACCGTATACTTCTCAAATATACCCGTTGAATAACGGAAATCCGCAAGACGGGGAGGAGACGAAGTCAACCTAGCTGGCAAAGGAGCTAACCCAGCTCCTTTGGTCTTATTTATGGTCATATGTATTTAGCAAAATATGGTATACAAACCGAACCAATCAACAACAAAACCTGGTTTTAAATTGTTGTATATTTCTCAAAAGTCAAAACCCATAATAACCAATGGAACAGAAGAAGCTAATGCAGAGCATACTTACGCTTGGAGTAAAGAGTGATGCAAGCTTCCATTGGCACACCCGAAAACGCATCAGAGCATGGAAAGAAACCTAAAAACCAATAAATTAAACAATAATTAAATCTTAGTGCATGGAAAACGAATCCTATACATACCAAAGTCCGAATCTCAGTGCCTTAGAATGACCTCGATACCAAAAACTTTAAGTTACTACTTCCATATATGTAATATTTTAGTTTGGGGAGAGAGATTGGCAACGAAGAGTAATTCCTGAATTTAACAGCCAAGTTTGTTATCCCTAATCTAAAGAGAGGAATACTTAAATTGTATTAACGACAAAAATTAGCCTCCTCTGAAGATTCATCCCTGAAATAAGTCATCTTTCTGACTTTGTGGCAACTGTGTTATCAAAAGTTGAGTGTTTCTTCTGAAAAAGACATATTTGAAAATAATAAGAACATGTACCTCAACAAAATCGGGAGATACCTCATCTTTTTACAACAAAAAAAAACATACCAAACCATCGATGATTACCTTCTCAAAAGTTGAAACCAAACTTTTTGATTATAAAAATTGATTAGTGGTGAAAATAGTGAAACCATAAATACAAAAAAAAAAAAAAATCAAATTTGTACATATAAACTATAAGATTACCTGTTTATTCATTGAATTAGGTCCAAATTTTCCATACACCAGTTCACATCGTCCCCTCCATACATCCACCCTACAATAAAAAGAAAAATTAAAATTAGGTAGAAGCAAAAAAAAGTTTGAAAAAAAGAACAAAAAAAACAAGGGTTAGTTATGATCTGAAATTGAATACCATGAGCAAGGTATTTATATTGAATAGGAGGCGGTGCATGATTTAGGGTTTCTAAATTTTTCGACGATAAATACAAAAAGAGAAAAGAAAATTTACATATTTTAATAAGCAAATCAGTATCATAATAATAAATATTTGTAAAACTGTCATTTATTCATTGTTATCCATGTTTATTAAAATAATA